GACATTATTGCTATTCTCGGTTTAGCCATAGGAGGAAACAAAACAAAAAAAAAAGGCAAACACCACATGATCTGGGAATCGGAATGCATATGACACACACGATGCACAGAACTCCAAACATGCAATGCTTTCGGCGCTCGCTGCGCTGCACAACATTCGAAATGTATCTTAACCTGGAGGTGGTCTCCATACATTCAAAATGCTGGATCAGTCTGAATGTACATGGTCCAGAAAGCAGTCAAGATACATGTACAATGTTGACTAGTGGTGCGGTGCTTTAATCTTTCAATCTAATCACCCCGTAATTTTTTATCAAACCACCATTGGCCCTGAAGCAAAGTCACCAAAGGGGCCCACTTTCCCAAGCCTGGAGGACCAAGCCAAACAATGTCAGACCGACCGGTGCCAGCAGTACCCAAGCCTCAATAACCGGTTATTGCACAAACAATGCCGGAGGGCCAGCCACAAACAATGCCGGGCCTACCGCGGTAATAGCAGCACCCAAGCCTGAGGGACTGAGCCAAACAATGTTGGGCCTACCGGTAGCAGCACTTTTTCCCAAGCCCGGAGGACCAAGCCAAACAATGTTGGGCCTACCGGTATCAGCAGTACCCAAGCCTGGAGAACCGAGACAAACAATGGGCCTGGAGGACCAAACCAAACAATGCTGGGCCTACCGGTAGCAGCACTTTTTCCCAAGCTCGGACGATCAAGCCAAACAATGTTGGGCCTACCGGTACCAGCAGTACCCAAGCCTGGAGAACCGAGCCAAACAGTGTCCAGCGTACCGGTAGCTGCAGGCCCAAGCCTGGAGGATGGAACCAAACCATGCCGGGCCTACCGGTAGCAACACTTTTTCCCAAGCCTGGAGGGCCAAGCCAAGCAATGTTGGGCCCACCGGTACCAGCAGTACCCAAGAACTGGAGGACCAAGGCAAACAATGTTGGGCCTGCCGCGGTAGCAGCAGTACCCAAGTCTGGAGGACCGGGCCAAACAACATCGGGCCTTTCCAGTACCAGCAGCGCCCAAGCCTGGAACGTCGAGCCAAACGATGTTGGGCCCACCGGTGCCAGCAGTACCCAAGAACCAAGGCAAACAATGTCGCGCCTACCGCAGTAGCAGCAGTACCCAAGCCTGGAGGACCGGGCCAAGCAACATCGGGACTTTCCAGTACCAGCAGAGCCCAAGCCTACAGGACCGGGCCAAGCAACATCGGGCCTTTCCGGTACCAGCAGAGCCCAAGCCTGGAGGACCGAGCCAAACACTGCTGGGCCCACCTGTTGCAGCAGGGAGCAAGAACACATGCATACTTCTGCATGCCAGAATTTGGTTTAAATTGACATCCACATTCCTGAGTTGTTTTTCAATTTCTTTCTACTATTTTTTCCTTCCTGAAAACATGCGCTGTCAATCTCTGTCCACGATATTTTGGTCATTTTCTCAAAACACACAAAACTATTCACATGAAAAATCCACACACCAAAGTCAGGGCGTTCAGTATTTGCTGCACTCTTGCCT